GGTCACTTTACATCAGCGTGTGCTCCAAACAATCATGATACATGAATAAATTACTCGCAAAATTACTTTGTTGTATGCAGCGTGTGTTATTCCATGACCATTTCAGAAAACCCACAAATTACTCGCAAAATAAAAGAATTCTCTTAGGAAATTTTCTCTAATTATTTTTCTAGATTTAAATCATCCAAATAGCTGACTTAATTATTAATCTAGATTGCAACAATCATAATAATTATTATTTATGAGGACAATTTGAAATCAAAATAATTTCCATAACGATTATTTGTCTTGATGTTAATTATCCAAAATTAATTAATTCAATTATTAATCTAGATTTTTAATAAAAATCATAATAATTATTAATTAATTTCTTAGGATAATTTAAAATCAAAACAATCCCATAATAACTATCATACTAGTCGCTGAAGACATAATAGCTATTATGCTCATGCAATCATACAAGTTATGCAATAATATGGCACCACCTATTCTATATGGCATGTTATCGCAATAAAGCATGTTATCAATCATATAATTTAAACCAATCAATAAAATCATTAAATAATAAAATCTAATTACTTTAATCCATGACATTCCTATTTTAAAGAAAATAAAAAAAATGTTACAACTTTGGAATTCAACTTTCGCCTAGCCCATAGTATCTGTCTCAAGCCCCTTTAGGGTTTCCATGGGCCCAAAAGCCCAAAGACCCAATCCTTTGGCGAGAAACCCTAGGACGCGAAAGAGGAACCCTAGCCGTCAGGTCTGCCGCGCCGTCACCCGAAGTCAAATCATATCGAAACTCTAGGGGAAGGACTTGCCACATAGAGACGAATGCACCACCGCCGGAACCACCCAAAAAGGTGGCCGGACGCTCCCTCACTCTCCCATTCTTTTCCGGAGAGTGGCGGCCACTCTCAGCCTCTTGTGGAGGCGCGTGGGGGAGCGTGTGGTCTCCGATGGCGGTGATCCATCCACCGTTGTGTTCGTCTTTCCGTCCTCTTTCTAACTATATATAGATCGCCCCATTCCGAGATCGGTAAGTCCTCGAAAAGTCTCCGACAGTGCTGACTGCGCATCTTCCTCGCGATTTCTCGATCTTGAACTTTTACAAAATATTGAAAAAATACACAGAAATTCCAAAAATAAACAAAAACAGCAAGGAGGAAACCTAATCATATGGGATTAGCCTCCTTGTTACAAATCGAGAAATACACGAGAGACCCTAACCATGGATTAAAGCATTTTTACCGATTAAAATTTAAACTTTTATGAAAATGAATTATAAAATACACATGCTAGATTCATACCATAATCCTAGAACCCTAGGTGCCACATTTCAAGAAGCAAAACTAATTACATGAATAGTGAAACTAGATTCACATACCAATGTATTGCCAAGGCTCTGATACCAATTGTAGGAAATCTTAGATTTATGCGGAAGCGGTTTAGGACCTAGTACATTGGTATGCTTACCGAATCATCCTTGTTTCACAATTACCTCTCGGTGCGCAGGTCGCGTAGAATCTTCCCTTGTAGGATTCATCTTCACGAACAGCTCACCTCAGCGCCGCAGCACGAACAACCTCCTTGAAGCTGGACTGTGGCAGATCTTCCAAACTATCTCTCGAGGAGGAAGGGGAAGTGTGTGGGCACTGATTAGATTCTGAGCTTGCCTCTTTCTCACAAAAAAGACCTTTGAGGCTGATGACTTAAGAGGTACTATTTATATGGGTTCCAAGAAACCCTAGCTCATTGGGCTCTAGGTTCCTTGGGCTCTTCTCATACTAATAACCCATTTGGGCTTTAGTAAAAGAGCAAACCCAACAACCTTTATATCTTTAAGGATGTAACAAAGTATATATCTTGTTCTATCGATTTCCCAAGTTTTATTTGAACCCTCTTTGTTATTTTCCTCATGGGTTGTGATATGAGTTTTATAATTATCTACGTGCATCTTGTAATTAAAGATGAAATAACATATTCATTCAACGATGAAACGACACATCTTTTCAAATCAAACTTCTTATTCATAAAAATAAATAACAGTCACACGATTAAGAAGATTTAACATGGATAAAACAAAAATTGTAAAGATGGATGAAGTCCTAAATGTGGTGTAGAGAAGGGAATAAAGGTAAGGATAATGAAAGAATGAAAAGATTTCGATAAAGGGTTTTAGTTTTATCCTTTAACATAACACAACAAACTTTCCTACCCTCACAACATTTTGTGGGGCCCACACTTTTTAAAATAAAAAAATAAATAAAAAATTAAGGCACGCAAAACGAATCTCTATAACATTAACAATCACTTTTCCTAAAACATAACTCTTATAAAACCCTTCGATAAATTATATGAAAAAGCATATGAAAAAAAATGTTTATATAATAATCATATTATATTCCACACATGACTTCAGTTCAGTTTAGTGTGAAAATAATTAGTCAACAGCTAGCCGTAGATTCATATTATTATATATTTTATTATTAATTAATGGCATTAATTTGTCCGATAAAAGTCAGGATTATTTGATTATTTTTATAGCATAAAAAAAGTTTCCTTCATTATCAAACCTATAATATTGGAGAGATGAAATATATTTTATTAGGGAATGGTACTCTTTATGTTAAGATTTCATATGAGAGAATCATGTAAAAAATTTGTCTTTATATGTTTCTTATTATTGTGTTATGTGATAAACCTAAATGAAATTCAATTGCTGTTTGTATTCCAAAGGGATATCATTAACATGTTGATGAACTTTTCCCTTACAGACGACCACAAGCAAATACATACATATATAAGAAATGGAATATTTTGTACTATCACAAAGATTGAAGCGACCTTTTTTGTGAAAAATAAAATAAAATAAAATGAGAGTTGATCATCTCATGTGTTAATTAGTATGATCATGTTACATGAGAAAATTATAATCATTTATGAGTAAATCAATAGTGATGATCTTGTCATTTATTATTTTAATATTTAGTCTCTCTCATTTTCATTATCATTGATTTGCCCATGAATGTTTAGATCATCTCACATGATATGATCATGTTAACAACTTATAAAAGGATCCCTTCACAAATAAAATAAAATAGTGATAAGATATTATATCTACTTTTTTTTAATGCCTACTCTATTTACTCTTTTTTAACCGTTAAATCACAATCTCAATAAAAAAATGATAAAACTCAATTCAGATTGTGATCCAATAGTATTGAAAGAAATAAACATAAAAAAAAAGTTGTCATAAAACCACTAGGATTAATTTAATGACAAGAGATTTGAAGAATTTGCATAAGATTATAGATTGAAACTTCAGTGCAATAATTATATTAAAAAAAATAAGTATAATATTCTATTCCAATAAAATAAAGAAGACTTCATAATTTGTTTTCCTCATCAGTAATGCTGGCGCGTGAAGGAAAATCTTCCACTTGCGAGCTTTCCATATTCAGCCGAAGATATTGGACGTACTCCGTTTAACTCGCATTCTATCATCACCAATTTTAATTACTTCACCAATCCTCCCCTTTTCAGTTGTTGGAAGACCTTATATTCATCAATTCTTCGCCTTTAAGAACAAAATTAGGAGAGTATACATAGTTTTTATATGTTAAATGCAGTAGCATATTCATGAACATCCAATTATAACAAAAAAAAAAAAGAGATGGAAGGTTGAAACACTATTTTTAACTTATAATTTTGAAATAATTATCCAATTCGTCTTTCGTTGTTGCAATTAAGATAAAATTGCATCTTCTTATACCACAATAAAAGAAAGATAACATAACATTTCAAAAAACTTAGGGGATAAATCCTGACTATTTGAGATGACCCCATATGGATCTTATACATTATTATGTGTGTGTTCCTGCATCAAACTTTTATTTTATTTACATTTTTTTGTAAATCCCCTATTTTTTATTTATTTTAAAGAACGTTTATTTGTGTTAATTTAATTCTCTTTGGGGGTAAGGGTTGGCTTTGCTTATCTCTTTCTCTCGCTCCCTCTCTCTGCCTTGTTTTGTCCTCTACACTCTGACTGACACACCACACTCCCCTCTTGATGGCTGATAGTGCAAGCAAAGCAAGCACCCTACTTTTTTTTTTTTGGTCTCTTAATCTCTCTCTCCCCCCAAAACTCTCATGTGCATTTCTCTTTGTCTGTAAATTCTGCTTTATTTTCTTTACTTGATTCCCCTCTATCTTTTTCCCCCCACACCACCTCTATAAGCTCTTGTTTAGTGCTTCTTGATCAGCCAAACCCACCTCCAAAAATCTCCGGTCTTCTTTTTTCTGTCTCTCAACTCCTACTGCCTTATACTAACTCAAATTCTAATCTCTTTCTCTGTCTTTCCCTTGTAAGCTAAATCAACTTGTCCATGTTTTCTTCAGTTTAGTTTGGTGGTGTTCAGTTCAAGCTTATCAAGACAACTTGACATTGGTACTTGCTATGTTGTTTTCAAATGCTCTTCACGACAACTCTCCATCTGCGTCTGTCTGTAATTGAAAATGCCAAGGGTAGGAAAGCTTCTTGTTTGCTTAAAAAGTTGTCTTCTCATAACAATATCCTGAGTTTGCTCATTATTACTTAATTCACCTCAAGACAATAACATGGCTACTCAAAATTCAAGTGCTTCAAAACCATTTTCTCATTCCCTAGCATCGACAGAAACTCTCTCTTTCCACTAGCTAGTTCAGCTGACTACTCTCCTTTAAATTAAGCCTGCTAGGTCTTACAATTCACGTAACATTAATTAAGCCCTTTCTTGCTTCTGTTTTTTTTTTTTTCCTAGTTAGAACCGTAAAGAAGAGTTGAAAGAAAAATGATGTGAAGAATCAAAACATTTTCGTCTTCAGTTTGTTGCTTTTAGAAGAGTTGACAATGGTGAAGATAGCTCCTAGGATTTCAAGTAGTTGAAACTTGGAATTACAATCATTTTGGCACTTTTCCTCGTTCTCTTCTCCTGTCCGGTAAGCAAGGCCCAAAAATGGAACTTTCTGGTCAATTAGAAGGAGAAATCCCAATCCCAATCCCAATAAACAGCAGTTACGATAATGGGGATGAGCACATGACTCATCATGACCCTGCACACAATACCCACATTATGTCTTCCTCATCAATCAAAATTAACCCTTCAAATGGGTTCCCAGGCCTAGAAGATCATGGATCCTACAAGAAAATGGTGAGGTACAAAGAATGCCTAAAGAACCATGCAGCTGGAATGGGAGGAAATGCCACTGATGGATGTGGTGAGTTCTTGCCAAGTGGAGTAGAAGGGACCATAGAAGCTTTGAACTGTTCTGCCTGCCATTGTCACAGAAACTTTCACCGAAAGGAGGTAGAAGGTGAGGCTGAGGCTGAGCATGAGCCCTACAGCCGTAACTCACATTTCAACAGCAGGTTGGGGAAAAAATTCATCCTTGGCCATCACGTAGCTCCTGAGGCTTTGGGTTACCCTACTGCTGCTAACATTCTACCATCAAGAACTGTACCACCTCACCACATGATAATGGGATCCCTGTCCATCCCTTCCGAATCCGATGAACAAGAAGCTAGACCTCCACAGATAGTGAAGAAAAGGTTCAGGACAAAATTCACCCAGGAACAGAAGGACAGAATGATCAACTTTGCTGACAAGGTTGGGTGGAAAATTCAGAAGCAAGAGGAGTCTCTAGTCCAACACTTCTGCCAAGAGATTGGGGTCAAAAGAAGAGTGCTCAAGGTTTGGATGCACAACAATAAGCACAATCTAGCCAAAAAGAATCCCCCAGCTGCATAAATCACGACTAATTATATGATCACCATTTTATTTATTAACTCCACTCATAATTATTAGCACTCTAATTAAGTCTTGACTTTCTTCTTCCTCTAAAGTATCTTTCTAATCATTTCATGCATAGTCCCGTCGTAGTATTGTTTACGAAATTGCATTTGCGTTGGGTTAATTAGCTAATATCTGAGTGATGCTTCTCTTGAGCCTTTCAGAGATGCAATAAAATGCAACATTGAGTTTGAGGTACAAATTTTATAGGCCTTTAATATACTACTTTCCCCGTGCCTTATATAAATCTGCTTCTTTACGCTACATTTCATCTTCTGACATTGTTGTGAATTGTGATTGATTTGAAAAATGTTTCTATTACTTAAAAGAGTAAATCTCGAGCACATGTTAGACAGACAACAGGAAAATTATATTCTCCGTGAGAGTACTCTTTCTTGTTGCTCTCACATAGAAAAATGTGTCTTCTTTCTTTTAATTTTTTTTTAAAAAATCAGTGAATCTCATTTTATTTGTCTCTCAACATAAAAGATTTTGTCTTTCACTACATGAGAGAAATAATCGCCTAGACAATAAGTTCAAACTTCAAGGGAATTTTTGGAAGCGGAAAAAAAAAATTGTTCAGGAATCAGACAAAAAAATTGCTTGATAGGTCAAAATATTACCAAGAATGTTGAATCAAGTTCTATGTTTAGTCGATTGTTAAATATTACTGGAAATGTTGGATGATTTTACAAAAATAATCTCACATAGTACCTTGCCCCACCTATCAAATACTTGATCGAGGGGGAAGAATCTTACGGTAATCCCCAATGAAAAAACAAGACAAGAAAAAAAAGATAGAAGAATAACATTATTGAACAACATTTGAAACTTGCACGGCTCAACAATTGATGTTTCATTCTCTTATTACATTTCATCTGAATCACTCTATATAGTTTTTCAAACTTAACAGCTTAGAAAATTCAAAAAAGAAAAGAAAAGAAAAACCACCATTGATGGCACTACTTCATTCTACCTCTGCCTTAGCAACCATAGTTACGCTTTCATCGCCGAGAAGCAAACTTGTGAAACTTAAACCAGTCCCTATTTACTCTTTCACAAATGCACCATTTTTCACGAAACAAACAATACTCATTAGCAAAAGAAACCTTTCCTTAACCCTTCAATGTGTTGCTGCACCACCCACAACAATTGAACCCGATAACCCATTCCCTAGAACGGAAAGGAGCCAAATTGAAGACGAGTTTGGCGATGAGAGCTCGCCCTCGAAATTGAAGACGAGTTTGCCGGAGAGGGGTTACGAACAAGGACGAAGAGAGCATGGGTATTTTTATCTGATGAGAAAATTTCTCACCGGATGAAAACCCAAGAATACCACACACCTGTGGTATTCTTTGGAGGGAATTTTTTACACAATTTGAAATCTTGGAAATTTGATTTCTCATGAAAAATTTCACAATTCTTATATCAAACTAGGGTAAATAAGATTCTCAATGTCAGTTTTCTTGGAATCTAAAATTTATCCCCGTATCAAACACCCTGCAAATAAAATTTGAAACGTGTTGAATTTCGTCCTTTCCCCAGTGCTTTAGATTCTTTCTTCGGGGCTGCGTACTTGTTTCATTGGTACAGTCTATATTATGGAATTAGTGTTTCTTATGTATAAAATAATTTTATTTCCTACACAATAAAAGTGTGTTGCACATGTTTTCTTTTTCTTTCTCTTTTTTTCACATGGCCCCGCATGAAACTTACATATTTTTATAGGTGTGTAAGAGATAAATTATCTCCTACAAAATATGATGTGGGACCTATGTTTTCTTTTTCTCTCTTTTCTCTTCACATATCCTCATATAGACCCCACTTGTTATTTAAAAATATTGAATATTTGTATCATGTAATTCTTCCGTACCCATTTGATTGACCATATGCATATACATGTAATCAACATGTTTCTAATGACACCTTGCATATAATCAGCTAGCTATTGAGTTAACATAATTTCATCAAGACATAGACATGTCTAAATGTAGAAGAAACAAATGAAATATAATTATGATAAAAAATCATTTCCCTAAAACCTCAACGATGCAGTGATAGATATATGTATACCAAGCTATAATGGTATGCTATATATATAGTGATATCGCATAATATATGTAACGTAATGTAACATGTATTTGATGTTTATTTCTAATGTGACGGATGCTATGATTTAGAAATATAAACATGAGAGAAAAAATTAGGTGCGGTGACAAAAACAAATATGTTAATTGTTAAAGAGAAAGAATATGTTATCAAAAAAAAAAAAAAGAGAAAGAATATTGGAAAAAGTAATTATTGAAGAGCCTCTTGATCTTGATAGTGTCTAAAAAATTAACCATCTGATAAAAAAATAAACACAATATTTTACTCTAATTGAAATATAATAAAAAATGTATCATTAACTACTTTTTCTTTGTTTGATCAGGATATCCTCATACTTAATTTTTTAAAAGTGTGCCTCACTTATTTTCACTTGGAACCTGTTTGATATTTTCTTATTTTTCAGTTAAAAGTTACTTTTAACTTAAAAATTTAAAAAATAAATAAAAATAAAGTTAAAAGCTGTTTGGTAATTATGTAAAATTGTTTTGATGGTTTTTAAAGAGAAAAAATAAAATAATTTATTATTAGGGTAAAGAATAAAATTTATAAATACAAGTTTAGAATTAGGATAAAATTATAAAACAAATATAAGGAGTCAAAAAAGCTATCACACATCTTAAAATTCTTTTTAGAAGCTTTTAACTTTTAGTTTTTTTTATTATAAAAGAAAATATCTTTTATAATAAAATCTTTTATTAAGATATGTTTGGCTAATCTTCTAGAATAGAAGCTACAAATAAGACATGTCAAACAGGTATTTGATGTGGCCTTTTAAATTTAAGTAATATTAGTGGAATACATTCTAATTAATTGCAGGGGACGTTGCAATATTCAAAACTAAAATTATAACTCATTAGTTGGAAGTGTAACACATAGATAAAATATATCATACATTACTTTATTCATGTGTACCACTGATTAGTTTTTGTGTTTTCTAAAACTATAACTAATCCACTTAACTATTAACTCCAATCTTTTAATATGTTGAAATAGACATTTTGGACTTTCTGAAAAGGTACAACATTAACCATTTGGTTAAGTATGACATCAGTTATGAAACTCGCAAGAGAACTGCTTTAATAGGACTTCCGAAAATGCAGTATCATCTTTAAACCAAAAGTAATATTAATATGCTCACCCAATGATTCTAATAATGTAAAGGCTTATAACTCTGTGTATTAGCTTCACATAGATTAATGTCTCACTCAATTTGAAGCTTTCTAGCTCAAGTTATGCTCATTTTATTAAATGATGCTGAAAATGCCTCGAATTGGTGCTGGTAGCGCCAAGAACAGTTTCTTTGTGCAAAAAGCGCCAACTTTGGTGCTACTTTGGCACTAGATGTGCCACCAACTTTGTTCCTCGCCCAATCTTTTGTTTCTTGACGCGAAAGGCGTCATATTTGCCACTAAAAGCGACATGGAATAGAGGCACTCTAACATACCCGATTTAATACTGATACAAATATATGAGACATATGGAAGCACCCGTCTAAGCAATAGTCACCGTAAAAGTCGTAGATTTTATTAGATTTGTAATATTTAGATTTAAGATAAAATTAGATAGATATTCTTAGAAAAAGAATCAGCGCCTGATTCTATATACATATATATATATATATATAAGAAACCTAGTCATCATGTTATGAGAACTGAGTGGAAAGAAAAGAAGAGAGAGAGAAAACACGTAAGAGAAAAGAAAGAACGTAACCGAAGAATGGAAGGAAAATAATGAGGAACCCAAGAGAAAAGAAAAGAGAAAAAAATAGGAAGAGGAAAGTAATATTGAGAGAAAACCTAATTCTCCTAATTTTTTTTTTTTTTTTATATGTAAAGCTGGTATTTTGAAGTTATTTCTTTAAAAGCTGTGAATGTGTCATTTCTCTGTCCAAATATTTTCTTCTAAATCTCTTCTATTTTTTTGTTTTATCTGTTATCCTTGAGTTTGTGGATTTGATGAATTTATTCATATTAGTTATAAGAATGATCTTAAATCAAGAAAATAGAACTAAAGAATTCCTTTGGTGCCAAATGAATATTATGGAATATGTAATCTTTTACTGAATGATTTTGACATGACTAACCCACAAGGGGATCATAATGGTTATATGGTAAGGGACGCCTTATCATGGTTTGAGCTCCGGTATACAAAATCTCTCACATACAAAACCCATAGAATTTAATCCATCGCAACTTGCGACAAAAATTACGGCGGATAAAAATCTGCGAGGGTACTTAGTCCAGATGCTATTGACTTATTGTTTTCTTTCTTTCAAGCACACCTATATTATAGCCACTTTGCTATCTCATCATTTTTTGTGTGTGGTTCCAACATGAATATGTAATCTTTGTATATTAGTATTGTTTTTATTTTCCCTGTTGATTAAACTTTTTTCGTTTTGTTATTATCAAAACATATCTTCTATTTACAAATTCAATATTACCAAGGTAAAAAGAGAGGTTCACTTACCCTTTTAACATGTTTTAATAACCCTTGTTGATAAATAATTTTTCAACATCACCACAGTAATATTAGGGATTTGTTAAATGAATTTTTTTTTTTGTTTCTTTTAGAGGTTGTTTGGTTGGGCTTTTTCCCATTCAAAAACTGTATTTTTTAAAAGAAGCACTTCTAGAATTTGTTTGATGTTTGGATGTTGATGTAAGAACCTGCACCGCTAATTAAGGAATTTAATTAGATAATTATGTGATTAATGAGATAATTCTAAAATTGACCCTAATAATTATGAGAAAGCTTGTATAATTATAATAAGTGAGTAATAATGCTGAAAGTCGCTTTTCTGACGAAAGGTGCAGATACCAGTTCTGCTACTCGGTATAAATGCGTAC